CTCTCTCTCTCTCTCACTGTTGCTATCTCTCTCTCTCTCTCCCGAAATCTCTCTCAACCTATTTTTCCTCTCTCTCTCCCAAAATCTCTCTTCCAATCTCTCTCAGCCCATTTTTCCACTCTCTCTCCCAAAATCTCTTTCAGCCCATTTTTCCCCCCTCTCCCAATCTCTCAGTCCATTTTTTCTGCTCTCCCAATTGCTATTCTTAAAGAGAGATGGCATGTGGAGAGAGAGATCCAAAGGAGAGAGGGTGAATAGAGAGAGAGGGTGCTTAGAGAGAGGGTGGGTAGGGAGAGAGAAAGAGAGAGAGAGGATGGGTAGAGGAAATCTGAGAGAGAGGGCAAGTAGAAAGAATGAGAGAGGAGAATGACATTTTAGTCTTAAATATTTCAATTTTTTTATTGAGAGATTAAAGCAAAGAAAAACAATGTTTGGATTGTAGGTATGATACTAAAAGTAGTGGGGGAAAAATGTCTACAAAATTCATTTTTGGGGTATTTATAATTATTTCTTTATTTTAAAATAGTGAGACTTTATGATAAGTTATTCTTTGATATGTTTACATGTTCATTTGAATTTAATAGCAAGAAGTTCTATCCTCCCCTCTTTATCCAACCGTCCATTTTTGAATGGAGGGTTAAGCTTGGCCCAATCATAATGTCATGTCTACACTATTTTTTTTCTATAAATCAGTGGTTCAAAAATCAGCGAGTCGCAAGGGACTCGTCCGAGTCGGTACGGGAATCGGTAACCTCGTTCCGAATTCTTTTTTTTTTTTCTATAAATCAATGGTCTAAAATCAGCGAGTCACAACGGATAAATCAATGGTTTAAAAATAGGCGAGTCGCAACGAACTCGCCTCAGTCAATGGGCTAAAATCAGCGAGTCACAACGGATAAATCAATGGTTTAAAAATAGGCGAGTCGCAACGAACTCGCCTCAGTCAGTAACCGACATAAACCGCCTATAAAGGTCCCAAACAGGGGAGAACCGGTTCTCAAACACACATGGCAAGCCTCAAAACTCTCCGGTTCTCAAACACACATGGCAAGCCTCAAAACTCTCCGGTTCTCAAACACACATGGCAAGCCTCAAAACTTAGCCACACGTGGCAAGCCTTCAACCCCACCGCATTGCAACCCCGTGTTTCCACGCGTGCATGTAACAAAGCACAACAAAACTATTTATATCACACACTTTTATACTCATTCTTGGATGTGGGATAATTCCCACGAGGTGCATTAAATTAAAATATACATTGAATAAGTATTATTAATATGTAAAACTATTACACTTGCCATAGCGTGGCTTTATGGTTATTGCTACTCCTTTGTTGAAGGAGCCCTTAGGTTGAAACCCCAGCTCGGGCATGCTATATTATTTTATTTTTGTTGTAAAAAAAATAGAAAATAAGCAGAAAATAATGTTTTTTTAAAAAAATTATTCCATTTGAAATTCAATCTTTCTATTATCAATCTTTTTTACTAAATTTATTCTAGAATCTAAAAAATTAAAATTTTAAAAAATTTATGTGTTATTTCGAAAATAATGTTGTTACAATAAAATTTTTCCATTTGAAATTCTATCTTTCTATTAACAATCTTTTTTACTAAATTTATTCTAGAATCTAAAAAATTAAAATTTTGAATAATTGAAGTGCTATTTAAAAAATTGATGTATTCAAATAATTTCTATATTGATAACCAAAATTTTATTTTATTTATTAATTTTTGCATTATAAATAATGTAATGTATTATTTTTCTTACAGCTGTCAATAATACATTTTAAATTAGATGATATTATAGAATATTTTGGATTTGTTATTGTTTGTAGAATAAAATAATTATAAAATGTTAACCAATAATTTTAATTTCAGTATATAATATTATAGTTAGTTAGGTTGTAATAATTTTTGAATTATTTATTGACCTTTGCATTATAAATCATGTAATATACTATTTTTCTTACAGTTGTCAATAATACATTTTAAATTAGATGATATTATAAAATATTTTGGATTTATTATTGTTTGTATAATAAAATAATATAAAATGTTAACCAACAATTTTAATTTCAGTATATAATATTAGAGTTAGTTAGGTTGTAATAATTTGGGTTTTTTAGTGAATTAGGGTTTTTCGTCAATTCGAGATTTTAGTGGCCATTTTTTCATCGATTTAGTCTACTCTTTATTGTAGTCTATGTATGATTGATATGCTTTATCACTGATAATTCTATGATTTTTCTTTTGTGTAATATAAATTTAATAATTAACGTAAGCTTATGCAGAGAAAGAACGTCTCAATATCTACAAATTGATGAAAAAAAAGAAAGTTAATAATGTCGTACCCTCGTTTCTTATTGGATTTCTAAAAGACAACATTTATAATGAATTTTATTAATTTTTTTGGATTTTTTTTAAAGCTTAATCCAACCGAGTTAGACAATTCTCGATCCGAATAGCTGATTCACTGATCCGAATGGGTTTTTGGAATGCCCGATCTGGGGCACCGATCCGTTTTTTAAACCACTACTATAAACTATTTTGACACCAAATTTTGGATGTCAATTCTTCTATTAAACGCGTACTAACGAAAAATATAAAAAATATATTTTCAATAAAATAAAATGATCAAAATACCCCTGAAAATTTCAAGGGGTGATTTGGTCATATTTTTTATCAAAAAATTATTGTTAATATTTTTTATAGATGCACCCCAATGATAAGATAACACGTACCAAATTTTATATTCAGAAAAATCGTATTTAAAAAAACTAAAAATAAAATACTTTGAGACGTCGGATCTAAAAACAAACGGTGAGTGGCTCTCTTGATAAAAAATGGACGGCTGGATGGTAGGGGGATGATAGAACTTCTATGTTGTAGGGGGAATGGATGGTAGGGGGAGGATAGAACTTCTATGTTGTAGGGGGAATATAAAAAGCTTTCCTCTATATATATATATATATATTTGATGGATATGAAACATTTTGTATACTAATGATTATGAAACATTTTCATGTATACAGATGATTATGAACCGTTTTCATCTATGATATGTATGTTATAATCTTTGTTACTGCAACACTCAATTGCCAAACTTTTGTGTCAACACGATGTGACACTCCTAGACACGGGGGATATTTGTATGGGTAGCTGTTTGTCATCAGAGAAAAGTTCGGACACAGAGACAAAGTGTCCTAGCTTATGGAGGCAAAGTTCGGACACAGCAGAGAAGAAGTGTCTTAGTTTATGGAGGCAAAACTTCCTAACAGGAGCAGAACTCATGAACTTTTGCTTTAAATCTAAATGCTCTACCACGAACGGTTATTAGCCCTAGATGACAATATATTTAGAATTTAATTAGTAATATAAGTCTTTGATGCAAATTTGAATAAACAACGAAGAACTCGAAAACGTTTATGATAATTAGATTGAAAGTAGGCTATATGACTTTGGGAGTAGAAGTAAATTATGCCTCCCAAGAAATATAGAATGCATGGTCTATTGTTGAAAGAAAAATTTTAAATTTGAGTTTTGTAAAGATGTCATCACAAAATTTTAAATTTGAGTTTTGCAAAGATGTCATCATCGAAAAATTAGATGGCGTCTATTCAACCTCGAGATATTATTGTTTTCAAGTGCATAGAGGATGCAACTAAAAAATACTTTTTATTGAGGTTAACATGAGTTGAAAAGGTTACATTCCCCAATTTGGGACCTAAAATGAGTTCTAGTTGAAGTAATGGGGGGAAAGTTAAATAGACAGTGTACTCCCGTGGGAGTATACTATCTTTGGGTTTAAAATACTATTTACACCCCCTAAAAATGTAAACAAAATCAATGTACGAAAGCGCCATTACACACTGGTGTGAAGCCGCCACCTCTCATGGGGCCCTCACAGACCTGCACCAGACGCTTCATCTTCAAAAACCGTAACCCTAGACAGTTATCCTCCATGCTTCTCCCTGTAACTTCCTCTAAAACACGTACCACTCTTTGCAAAACCCAACAATTTCTTGACTCCATCAACGCTCTCTGTGACCAAGGCCAATTGGACCAGGCCATAACACTTCTGCAAGAAACAGATCATCAGGCCATTAAAAAGAGGTTTCCAGCTTACTCTTGCCTTCTTCAAGCTTGTTCTGAATCAATGGCGGCCTCGCTAGCCCAAAAGGTCGAAACCCACATGGTCAAAACCAGTTTTCCCCATTGCCTCTTCTTAAACAATAGACTCATCGATATCTATTGTAAATCTGGTTATATTAGAGAAGCTCGTAAAGTGTTCGATGAAATGTCTGAGAAAGACCTCTTCTCGTATAATACAATGATTCACGGATATTGTTGTTTTGGCCTGTTGGATGATGCACGCCAAGTTTTTGTTCAAATGCATGAGAAAAATCAGGTTTCATGGGGTATCATGATTGGTGGGTATGTGCGCCATGAATATGCATTTGAAGCTCTTGAAATGTTTGTTGATATGAATCGAAGTGGACTTAAGCCTGATCCAATTATTTTAGTTGCAGCCCTTCGTGCTTCAGTCGTGGCTG